AATCCTCATACTAATGACCTAAATGTCGATCAATAAAGAAAAATATATATATTGTGAGTTATAAATATATTGTATTGTTTGTATAAATGACTTGTATTATTATAATATGCTTTTGTGCTCACACATCAACATTTGTATCATATTCGGCAGCTTAAAATAATTCCATTACGTTTCTGTAATTGCCATTTGTTACAAAACTATTTTATAGTGTATATTATTATATCCAATTATTTCTTATCTTGTTTTCAATAATTTAATAATTAGTTATTTCCCCGAACATTGCGCCGTACGTCCCTCAAATTTAATATTACATTCTTATTATATTTTCTAATAAATTATTTAATTTAACCTACATTAAATGTGTTCTTACTTGGAAACTTGGAAATCTTTTTTTTTTAAAAATACAATAAAATTAACAAGACTTTTGCAGTATGGGTCTTGATCTTGCAGAGCCATTGTAGTCATGGTCTTGGTCTTAATCTTGCAGTTAGACCAAGACAATGTTGCTATCACTAATCACTATGTTTAGTTCCTAATTTGTTCAACAAGTAATATTTAGTGAGTAGGTATTTGTGTGTTATGCATGTAACGCATATACCTATTATTGTGAATACAGTTTGTACGTGGATTTATTATTTTACATAGCAATTTTAAATAAAAATGGAAGAAAGGAACACATTTTATGAAAATCTGGATGAATATCATAAAATTAATTCTAAAAAAAAAAACATTCACTAAATGATTTTGAAACTAATCAATGCGTTGTTTTCAGAGTACCAAAAGTTAATAGAGTGACTTACAGATCCGCCAAACATAATTTGTGTGATCACGGAACAAAAAAAAAGAATGCATAAACTTGAAGCAAAATATGGTTTAATTAAAGCCTAAAGGATGGTTCAGCACTCATAAATCATAATATATGATAGGCGATAGCATATACATACCTTTATTAACAAATCATTAGAGTGAAAAAAGCTCATTTTCTTAAAAAATTGAATCCGAAGACCATAATATACCTACAGAACTACAAAATACAACTATAGCTATCACCGTGCACTTCGTTTCCAGTATAAAATACATACATATTAAATTTGGTTGCCTAATACTAATATTTTGCATAACAAATGTTGAAAAATAATATTTTTGGTTTTTTGATTTGGTGTATAGACTATAGATGAGATATTTTTGACATATACCTAAACATAATATTTTCACATTTATACTAGTATATATTATATAGATAATAAATAAAATATAGTTAATAATATTTTAAATAAAACACAATAGGTAACAAAGATACATATTGCTTCATTAATTTTTAAATTCGTTTTTAAAAAAATATATAAAAATATATCCATCATACAATAATTATTAATTATTTATTTATTTAAATTAAAGATTTTTTGTTTTTACCTTAATACTCATAAACTTATAATCAAAAAATCAAATGTTCGTTTAACCTGTGTTCATATAATTTTTTTTTGTTATCTATAAGTAGTTACTCAGCACTAGATGTCTAGATGACAGACATAAAATAAAATTAAAAATAATAGTAATAAAGTTATAAATAATCCAAACAAGGATACACATGTAATGATATGCTAAAAACGTTATAAATATGCAAAAATTAACAAAATATATTTTCGTATAAGTATACCCATAGCCATAGGTTATAGGTATACTAATACTTCATCAATATGTACCTACATACTCAAAATTCAGATTTTTTAGTTACTGCTAAATAAAATATTTAATTTATTTTGAATAGATAGGTACATGGTACATATTCTGCAATGGTAGCCGGTAGGTATTATTTAACATTTAACTTAATATTGCATGTTTTTTAACCTACCCTTTTTAATGAAACAAATAATTATGTTTTCATGGATTTGTACATCGCGGTTCCATGGTGTAATGGTTAGCACTCTGGACTTTGAATCCAGCGATCCGAGTTCAAATCTCGGTGGAACCTACTGATTTTTTTAATTTTTTACCCAATTATTTTTATCACTATGCAAAATGTATTATTTTTTTGTTACCACATAATGAATTTTTATTTTATAAAGTATATTCTACTACGATAACAATTATTCAAGTTAATAATAATATTAATATTATTATTTATTAGGTATAATAATATAATAAAATAAATAATATTCATACAAAAAGCTACTCGAAATGTTAAACGTGTGTGTATATTATGTTTAAAATAAAATTGAAGACTTATATTTATATGTATGCGTACAACTGCACGTGATACATTTGCAGTGAACAATATAAAACTATATTAATATATTAATTGATCCAGTATTTTGGTGAAGATTTAGATGTGAATACATATATGTATAAGTATAAGCCATACGGTACCAAACATCTTAGGCTTTAGATAAAATAGTTAGATCATTTACTAAAAAGTGTTATACTTACAATATTGTAAAGATTAAAAGATACGTACCTAAATTTAATAATTTGTATATTATTAACCAACTTGTCCGTTGTCTCATAAGTCATAGGCACTCATATAGTAAAATCTAGCACACAAGACTGCAAATTATGTACGTAGCCATAACTTAAAAATTTGAATTAGTTGAAAATAAATTAGTGTTTATTTCAGACCTTCTATCCAGGGGGGTAGGTATCGTAAATTTTATCGTAGGTAATACATGGTTATTGAAAGGTAAGACTAACGTCTTACATTTTTCCGAGGAGATAAACATTTTTTTCCAGGGGGTTATTCCCACTGAAATAAATACTGAATATAGTATCATGGATTATAAATACAAGTATTTATAACCAAAGATAGGTAATACTGCAATTGACTTCTAATTTTATTTTGAATTGTTTTTATTTATAATTTTGTAATGGGTACTTAATTATGCATTTTGTTGACTGGAAACTATTTTGCATAATTAAATAATAATAGCAATTATAAATCATAAGAAAAAAAACCAGCGTAAAAATGAATTCGGTGAAGTCGTACGGTGGCGTTGTGGCGAAATGGGAATTAACCATATTACTGTATAAATACCTAAACTTATAAGCTATAATAGTAGGTATATTTATAATATATCTATTACCCAGTGGCGTATTTATGGGGGGGGGCGAGGGGGCCCAGGCCCCTCCCGAAATGAAAAACGCAATTATTAAAAATTGTTATTTTTGACATGGAATATGTCTTATGGTTGGGGAATAGGGATTATTCCAAAAATTTGACACGACACCGATACCATGACGTCATGAATGAAACTGTCGCTTATGCGACAATTTAGAATAAAAATATAGCGTGTTGAATGCGTTAGTATTTTGACGATTATTAATGATTATGTAACACAATTTATTATTTAAGTTATATAAATAAAACAATTAATATTGGTTGTTAGTTGTTTACGATTTTGGCAGACGGAAACTCTTGGTATATGTAATTTTAGCTCATGACTTCTAGAATTAAATTAATAACTGTAGTGGTGAGATAGTAATAATATAGGTAGTCAGTGGCGTAGGTTAGGTATTAATTATATGCATTATATTAGTATTGATTGTATTCTAGTTTAATTTTGAGTGTCTCTAATAAAAAATTGTTTATAAAAATGTAGAATTATTACTTTTTTTATGTTACAATTCATTAAAAAAATGATTGAGTTTATTATTACTCTGATGGTCTAAAGAGAGTTGAAAGATCTTGTAGTATTCAAGCAATTTTTGTCCAAATAATGTGTCTCCTCCCTCCTTTCCCCTAAGAAATCCAAATATATAATCAGCCCCCTCCGAAATAAAAACCTATATACGCCACTGTACTTACCTACGGCTACATTACATCTAATGTCGTCACGTCTCTACTTGTAGCCAAATGCAGCAGTAGGTATAATTGAATATTTGAATATAAGTACCATATTATTTTATGTTAATAATATAATGATTTAATGATACAAGTTTATTACAATATTTATTTAAGGTACATCTGTAGACTGTATTAGTATTTATGTTGATAAGTACCTACATTATTGCACCTTGAGAGTAATGGAAATTAGAAAATGAAAATAATTCAAATTATAGATAGGTAGGTAGGTATACAATAAAAATATTAGTATGAGTGGTATTACCACAGAATAGATACTAAAATATTAAATAATATTTATAATAATAATTATTAATTATTATATTTAGTAAATTTCGTAAAAACAGACTTAAATAACGTTATTTTCAAAACCTCTGCATCTCGGTTCCATGGTGTAATGGTTAGCACTCTGGACTTTGAATCCAGCGATCCGAGTTCAAATCTCGGTGGAACCTATAATTTTTGCATTTTTTTTATAAACTTACAATTCATTATTTCACGTTATTTATTTTATAACATTAAATAAAAAAATTATCATAAATCACAATTTATTAATTGTTAGTAATAATTAAGATTATATGGTCACATGCCACCCCTTTAATACTTAGCGTTATTTTTAAGTAATTCCATATTAACATAAAAATAAGTAGGAGATAATACTAGTAGAAGATATTTAACCCTGGTGTAAACATAGAGTTTATATTTTAATTTTATAGAATACCACATCAATTTACGAATTATTTACTACCAAGTACCTATTCTATTTTGAGAAATCGACTATCAACCGTCTCCGCCCGAAGATTACCCACAACATTGTGCATACTGTATTCTATAAATCTCACACACGTTCATTCCGAAAATAATTTATCATAAACATTATGTGCGAATCGTTAAAGTGTATAACCAACAATTGGATAATATTATGTGATGACTTTAGACATATAATAAATGCGCCAGTAATATTATACCGAATTCCGATTATTATCGGTGTACCTATATAATAATAAGTAATGACTTAGTATTACGTTCTCTAAAAGACAGTTTTATTATCTTAATCGGCAGACGTTTCTTCATAGAGGCCCGAAGTATAATGTGCCAAACAATCCCTATACTCTTTAGGTATAACTTTATTATGTGGTTATGTGAATCTCAGAATAGTTAGGCTTAACATTTTTTATTGGCAAAATTTTATGCTCGTAACAACAATATAATATATGCGTTTCTTTGTTGTTGCCGGTTTTCCCTTACTTCCTCCCTCTATCCCAATTCATTTAAGTCTAAAGAGTAAAGGTAAATTTATTTTCGATTCGACACTCAGTATTCATCTTTCAACTGACAGGATACCGTCAACAAAATTATCGGACGATGTCATCGACGACGACCGCGACTTGCGAGGTAGTGTATAATTTAATATATTATTATAGGTTTCTTTTTCCAAAGTAATAAACTTGTAATAACCCATAAGGTAATTGGTGGTCGCATTGGCCGCAGTTATGGATAGTATTAGAATCAGATGAGTCGTTTGTTTTAAAAATACTTACCTTCCCTATATTATACATTTTAATAGAGATTAATAAATTTTTATTTTTGTAATTTTTCAAACATTACAACTATTTATTGGTATAAAATACTTTACATTAAATAGTATTTCTAGAATGTCGTATATTCGCAATGGTACATATATAATACTTAGATGCAACACAATATGTATAATTACAAAATTTATTATGTTTTTAATACTTATATAGGTACTTATATTAGTCGTATTCATAAATGCATCTTCAGATATTTTCACATATTTTATATGCTTTACTACAACATGGGTAGGTACAAGGTACATGTTATATAAAATGTGTTAGTCAAAATGTCTTAAGATTGTTGATTAGAGACCAGAAATTTTCGGAGTATAATTACATTTTTTTTATAATAAACACGAACGATTTTTGGATTGATTTTTATTTTTAAAAATCGTTGACCCACAGTAAATAAGAAAAAATTTATAGCTCCAACTATAGTTAGACAAAGCTTAGATGATGATGCGTGTGTGATACAAATAAATAATAATATTAACTCAATAATGTTAAATGGTAATATATTAAGCACTATAATCGTATAAAATTCAACTTTAAAATATATCTTATCATTATGAGGGAAATTATGTTTTTTGCACATAGTGTTTGTGAAGCCTATATACTAGATAGCGCTACAGTATTTAATATCGATAAAAACATACTACAAACTTGAAAAATAAAATTGTTTTTATTATCTAGGTATTTGATAATCTTAATACGTTCAAATTGCACATAAAAATTAAAATGTTAAAAACACTTTTCAATTTTTTATGTTATATAGTTTTAACAGTTTGATAGCTTGAATACTTAACGTGGTAACATTATTTAAGATGTATTACATTTAAATTTTAAAGTATAGCAAAATTATTCATTATAACTTGCTAAAATATTATTTTATATATTTTGATCGAATGTAATAATTTATATAGAATGATTTATGAGTACAGTATAAATTACAAGTACCTATATATTTCTAAAAATAAGTTGTCTTGAAAATTTTGTTTTGTTATTGTTTTAATAGAATAAAAAAAATTAAAAGTTTATTAAATATACCGATGTATATAAATATTTTTTAACGATTCCTCGACATTTGAAATTAATTTTATCATTCTATATGTTCGTTAATCATTGTGTTATGCTACAGCTTTTAATATTAATAAGTAAATTAAATGTGTTACATTGGTAATACCATTAGTAATAAGTAATAACTAATAACAACAAAATTTAAAGATTAATAAAATTGTAATGTGTGAGATAATTTCTTAAGGTTTAAAATGTATACACTGTATGACTGTATTTTAATAGGTAGGTCCATAGATACATAGTAGCCCGCAGTCCTGTGTTCTGTGACGACGGACTTAGTATCAACGTTCGGTCCAGTCCCGTGTTGTGTTCCATACTAACGCAATTCGTGGAAAACGTAAATGTTGTCCACCATCAATATGAATACAAAAGTACGTAGAAAATCTTATCTAATAATAGAAAATAATAAACCGAGGAAAAACGTAACCAACAATCAACATTTTATGATACGTTCTACTCAAAAGTTTTCTTGTTCGCAATGCTAATTTCACGAAGAGGCGCACACGTGCAGACATCGCGGTATCACGATTCTTGGTAATTATTCATTTTAAATATTATGAATTTTTGTTAATTTTTTATACTTTTGTATTATATTTCTTGAAAACTAAATATACCTGTTTTAATATCAACTGTTTAAAATTAAACTCCGTATGTTTTCTAATTAATAATTTTAGATTCTGAGCATAACGTTGAACATATTGATTTTAAAATGTGTTTTTGCTTTTTGGTGTATGTATATACGGTTAATAGATAATAAACTATGGTTTTGAATAGAAAATTAGATTTAGGCGCGGTATAGGGTAATGACAAAGCGTGTCAGTTATAGCGAAATAACGTATCTTTTTTGGCCCACAGCTACTCGTTGTCTATCTTTTGCTACTTTTCAAAGTTTAACGCCTTGAGCAAATGCTCCTTTTGTTCCTGTGTTAATGCAGCCCTAGTCACGAGTAATACCCCGGAGGACGTCGAAACAATAAATGGACGACTTTTCCAACTTTCAACCCTCTTGCTCATCTTTACTGCAATAGTTTTATTAATTTTTGGTGATTGTATGTGACCAATACACTACATTGATGCGTTGTGTATCGTTTACAAAGTTTGAAACAAATCATGAATAATATTAATATCATTGTAAGTGATTGATTTTGAGCCGCTCTAATAATATAAATACTAAATATAATATAATATAGGTATTGGGTTCATTTTATAAAGCTCACATATCCAGAATAATTAAATACAAGGAAATCGACGTTACACTTAAATTTTAGCTAAAAATATTATGTAAATTTAAATTTCCATCATCGTGTTTATTGTTTCAAAAGTTTATCTGTACACCGTGTATATCATTTTACTCATGCCCTTGTTATTGTTAGTTAATTCGAGCCAATTTAAAATTTTACTGCTGTTTAAATTAAATTAAATTAAAAACAGTCTTCTGCCGTTGTTATTCATAAGTACCTACGCGTTGTGTTATGATTTTAAAGTTCAGAAAAGGTCTTTTGACATTTCATGTGTGTGAATAATTACTACCGATGCGTTAAAATTATAAATTTTTCTTTACGCTAGTCAGACTACTCCGATTGATCGCGTTCTGATTAACACGAAATCATTTTAAGCGTTCTTCTATAATCTGAAGTAAGTTTTTGATTTTATTTATTTAATTACCCCTGAACAAGTTAGTGTAAGCTGGAAGATTAACATGTTATTTTATATGGAACTTCAAATATTACGCGGAATGCGATTTCTTTAGACGGACTTGTGCTTAATAACGAATTAATTGCTGTAATTATATAATTACACGTTTATTTATAATCTTGTTATTAATTATTAATAAGGCATTATAGATAAACGTTAAAACTGAATTACTTTCTGCAATTTAATATTTTGTATAATATGCATTATATATTTACAATAATCAATATATTTGTGACATACTAACATTCTGACAGCTGTAATTAAGTGTATATCATTAATAATATATTCATATTACACATAATATATAATATATAATGTTATTTATTATATACCTATAATATGGTAAATTGCGTCTTCAAAATAAATATATTGTATTTTATTTTAAACAGTTGGTTTGATCTATCTCAAGAATATGTTTATTTAATAAAAGCAGAAATTTATGATTCGTCTTGTATTCCTATTCGAACAAACACTCAATGTAAACCCATACGACTTACTTCTTCACATAAATGACCTAATTAAAAAAAAAACCGTGCATGTTTACGTTCTAGTATCAACTGTAATACTTAATTACTAGTTAGTTATACATACAAGTTACAACTGGATATCAGAAGGCTAAAAAAGGCTTTACAGAATCAAATTATAAGTGCTATAGGTATTTCGACAATGGTTTAAAGCAGCGGTTCTCAAACTGTGGTACGCATACCACTAGTGATACGCGAAAGACTACATGATGGTACGCGGAACTGCGGAAGGCCACATGGTGGTAGGATTTTTAATCATCAGTGGTACGCGACTGATTGATAATATACTTAAGTGGTACGCGAAATAAAAAATTTGAGAACCGCTGGTTTAAAGGTCATTAGTACTAAGATTTTTTATTAGTAGCGAGTATGCTGCAATTCTTTTTAAACCTATTTATAATTTATAAACCATAAACCTTTGTAGTCTATGTAAAAAAAAAAAACATGTAGCAAAACAATATATTTATTAGTAATTATTACATGTACAACTAAAATAATATCATTGTTAACGACTGTAATAATTCAAAATGTTTCAAGCATTTACAAAAATTCATGATCATGTACCTGTTAAATATCAAAACCAAAGGCCTGACTTGTATTGTAGACCTTCATAATGTATATACTACGCATATATAGAATTCAGAATATATTACGAAAAAATTTTAATATATGTATATAGTAGGTAGTGGGTACAACTATTTATTGTGTCTTTTAGTATCTACAGAATATTAGTTATTTCTGCAATAATATGTACAAAACATTAATGATACAAACTCGTATACTTCCTGATTTCTTTTTAAAAAAATGTGATCGAATTTATGTCTAACTTACGACTTAGAGCAGGGGTGTCCAACCTTTTGTGAAGTCTGGGCCACATCATATGGGTATAGATGTTGTTGTGGGCACCATAGTTTTTAATAATAATAGCTTAGATATACAGTGTTTTATTTTTATTTGTTGATAAATAACACGAAATCTATGCCATGAACATATCTCCAACAATAAAATATTTTATCAAAATTGGCTCGAGTTGATCCACTAATAACTTGTATAATTAATGTGTGCCAGTGCTATTTGCTAAGATAAAAGTATTAAACACTATTAAAGTTTATTTGATGTTTAATATTATGTAGTTTTATATTCTTATGATAAATTTGTTTTCATAATATTAATATATTATATACAATTAATTAATAATTTTTAAACTGAAGTGAGGGCCGCATCAATATCTACCATGAGCCGCGGGTTGGACACCCCTGACTTAGAGTTTCTCAAGTGATTAATTGCAATACTTGAAAGCGTAAACACGAAGATTGGCGTTTACGGTTAACAAACCGTCTGATACGACTACGTAATCTTTAGCAAGAAGATACGGTGCCAAATATAACTGACGGGTGGGTGCTAACTTTCAAACTAATGATCGTATCATAATCTCGATTCGTGCTTTATGATGAAATTTCGTTCATGGCGAATTGAAAGTTGATTCCAGTAAGCCTATATTATGTAAGTACATTCATATAAAATATCATATTTAAATTTCTAGACATTATATTTATAATTATAAGTATACATGAGTAGATACATACCTATTGTGACCAAATCTTATAATTTGAAAAGAACATCATTGGTTGGGTTATTATGTCATCAATGGCCAAAATTAGTTAATTAAGTTGGAAAATGTTTTTTTTAAATTATTGATTTTGTACTAGAATTTCCGTCTTTTATCAGACTATGACATAATTTCCTGAAATTGGTGTACATATGGATGATAAAAATTAAAACAAACTGTTAATTCATGAAAAATTTAAATGAAAACAGTATATAAGCTCAAACTGTACCTATATATTTTCAGGTTTTTGGTGAAACGATGAATATATTGATTTTACAATGATGTATGTTGTGTGTAGTGTATGTATGGTTTTTTTCGTCTTTTTTCATCTTTTAACACAGTAAAAATTTAATAGCAAACTTAGAACACTAAAATCAATATTTTGCGATTAACTATATTAACGTTTCGTTGTTGGTTATTAATTTATAGAATTTCAGAATGTTATATTAAATATTTCTAAATAAATATATTGTATATTTATAAAGGTATTAGGTATACTACGAATATTGTATAGTGTATAATTTCGATTTTTGATCTTAAGATTGTATTTATTTTATATTAATTAAAGTTACGACTTCCGAAAGTTATAATTCAATAACTTCATTTTGTGCGTATCTGGATATGATAATGGTCAAAAAGTTGAGACATTACACCTTTTTTTCAAAGTGATATCGCAAACATTCTAATGGAACTGAAACACGATATTAATATTGTTAATTGTAAAATATGTATCAATTTATCATATAATATAATATTGACTTTGGAGGTTAGGTTGTGTAAAATTAAAATTGTATGTATCGTTTATAATATATGTATCTTATCCATGAGTTCCACATTGTATTTCATACACAAAAAATACTTCTAATAAGACGTTAATTCTGTGTCGTTTTCATCTTAAAAACGTACAACGTGGTGGATTTAGATTCAGTAGTTCCTATTTTGTATTATTAATTTTGATATTAGAGTAAATCCTATCATAATATAATCAGTTTAAAACTATAGTTAAAGTTATTGAAATTTGTTTTAATATTTTTTATGTTTTTAATATTGAATATCCATTAGAATTTTCAAGCTTTTAGTTATTTATTCAAATATATTATTTTAAGATAAAAACTATGTATATGATAAGCCTTGAATACAAGTTAACCAAACAATTGTTCAACTTAAAGCTTACGAAAGAAATAACATAGCATAACTAATTAAATATATTATGTTATTATGTACTTGGTTATTGGACAACAATTTTGTCATATTTATATTTTTTTTTTTTTTGTACTCAAATTTTATTATTATTAATCATGTAAATATAACTAATATAATACCTATACATTTTTCAACATTAATCTAATTAATGTGTTAAATAAATATGTTATTATTTATTTTATGGCTAACAAAATGTTTCAATATCTACTTGTTGTATTAACTATCATTTAAATACTTAAGGTGTTAACTATTTTACTACCTACTTTTAAGTGGTTTTAATATTATTTACTCCTAAAATTAGTTAATACTTTAATAAGTTCCTTATAAAAATGTAATAATAAATATTAATACATGGTTAAAAAATTAATAATATATTATTATTAGTAAGGTTAGGTTTGAACAATTATTGGTATTTAAAATAATGATAACTTATTTTTATTTTAATAAATAAAAATCATAATTCAATCAAATTAACATTATTCATTCAATTAATATATTTTTATTTTAAAAGAAAGGAATAGTAAATTTAATAATTCTTAACTAATAGAATGAATAAATACGTGGTAAATTTAATAAACTATTTTGGTAAGATTTCTTCCCTTGTGTATAAAATAAATTTATTAAATTAATAATTCCTTTTTTATTTAATTAATTTTATTTATTAACTGTAAGTTTAATAAGATAAAATTTGTATCATTAATAATTGTCTTTATTGGCCTATTTTAATAACTTAATTATTAATTCAACTCACAATATTGAATATTATTAATTTCACCTAGGTTTTTAGTTTTGTGTATAAATAAAGTATCTATATCTTCTATCGTTCATTTTTACAATAATTTAATTGTTAAATGAGTTATGTATGTTTTAAAATTTTAATATTTTACATACTTGTAATTAGGTTAGAAATTAAAATATCGTAAAAACCCGATTAGAGAACATAGATAATATGTTCTTACCTTTAATGAACTTGAGTATAGATCTGCGTAAAATTATTATTATTATTATTTATGGTACTTACCATAAATATTCTTATAATTATGTACTTATATAATACTCCAGTTTCCAAACACAGTTAACTTACTGAGAGTTTACTTACCTACTATAAGTTTTAGCCGTCAGAAAAGTCAAGCGCAAAATGACAATGCTTAAAATTAAATTTTTTTTACAAATATCTAGACAGTTTAAGTGATATTTTGTGAATAGAAATCAAAAGTTATAAACCAGTTCAAAATATCAATTACTGTGAAACTTTTTACAGTTACTATTAATAATTTTCAACATATTAAAAAATAATTTACATTATTTGATCATTCATTTTTATAGCTGTATAATATTATACATATGTTGTAAATTGATTATTAAAATACTCATCAGGGTTATAAAATATATTACAAAATTATACTAGCAGAACAATAAAAATCAGTTCTTTTTCTTTATCAAATAATATTTGATAAACACAATTAAATAATAGTTAATAATATTTTATTACCAAAACGTCGCTACTATCTACTTATATAGTTATGATATAATTATAATTAATCTTCAAATATTGTTGTTCCGTAATTTCAATGTTAATTATCCTCGAAAACTGGTTGTTTTACGTTAAAATAAGCATGTATTTTGTAACTCAGATCACAGTTTTTTTTTTTTTTAGCATAAGTAATAAATAATAGTTACTTAAACCTAATAGTTAATACTAATTGGTAAAATACAACTGGTTTGAATATAAACTATGAAGAAATTACTCTACATACAACGTTCGGAACGTTTCAATTCATATTTATTTCTATTTTTATCATTGAATGCCATATATTGAAGTCAGACGTTCAAAATTAAAACGTAATACAAATGTTTTAAATATTTCTGTGGTGTGTGTTTTTTAGAGCTTAAAACAATAATGGATATAATATGATTTATAAGGAATGACCAACATATTTCTAGTACTTCTTAAATTATTATTATAATATAATATGAGCTTATGTACAAGTGTTCGTAGTGCAATGTCATAACTTTTATTTTTTTCAAATACACATGTTTTGATTAAACATTGAGAAGACTGGACGCAACTTGTCCAATTTTAAATATATTTTTATCGTTATTCTATCGTTTTCATATCCAATTTCCAGTATATTTTTTACATGCCAAACATTTTGTTAATTGATTAATGATTATATTGTAACAGCCATAATATTTTATGTAGAGTTGATTGAATAATGTGAAAAATAAAATACCTTTTTTTCGTTACTCAATAATTACTCTTTTTTCCTGCCATAAATATTAACAGCACTAATGAAAAATACTATTTTATACTCAATTATACAGAGTTTTATAATATATAAAATTATAAGAATTATATCTATGAATAAAATACTTATATACATAAATCAAGAAGTATAATTGACTATAATAATATTTAAAAAAATAACTTAACAATTTGTAAATCCTTTTAATATTTTTTACCAGGAATTTCGCAGAGCGGCAAACCAAGAATTTACAATGAATTTTATTAAATTCATAATTTCTCTGTATGAATGTGTTGATAATTTTAAATTTATCAATCGTTTTTTTAGCAATTTTTAAGGAGCATGAATGTATGATAGTTTCGAAAATAATAAACAAAATTCGGTTTCGAATAAATAAGTTTTTAATAATATAATAATAAAGTATTATAATAATCGCATAATTAAATACCTTTGTTATTGTTTAAAATAAATAGAATTATAATTTTATAATGTTTAACACCCAGTGTTTATCAATGAATAATCGATCTTGTATCCCTTTTCCACATCTTCGTTAGGATTTGAGTAATCGTCGCTGACAAAGGCCACGTATAGGGGTCCTTGTGTTTTGACTGAAATTTGTTAAAAAAAAAAAATCAAAAATTATTTAAATACATATCTTGTATAAACATTTAACATCGTTGTAAATTAAATTATATGTATATTATCAAGCATGACGTCTAATTGGGACGTTCACGTCGGGTCTATTCGAGTATGGCGAATCTGTGAGATTTGATGAATGCATTTGAAGTCATTAAATAGTGGTCTAACTTAACTCTTCAAATTAAACCCCATTTTCTAGCATTATCAATTAAATCGTTAGGTCCACGCCGTTAAAAAACAACGAAAAAAAGGTTTCAGTCGCGGTTACCTGTACTGTCATCGACGTTTTCTAGCGACCTGTCACAATATTTCGACGCAAATCGCGAGGTTGAATAAAGGCCGTCCGGTATGAGCAAGTAGTCGTTGTGCACGCCTCGTTCGGATAGCCGTTTCCTGCTGCGCTCGTTCACCGTTTCTTTGTTCAAGTCATCATTTGATGTTGTATCGGTTTTCGTGGACGATTGGGTGGTTACTGAAGGCGGTTGAGTAGTTTCTGAGGGTTGTTGAGTGGTTTCCGTGGTTATTTGAGTGGTTTTCGATGGCGGTGTGGTCGACTGTTCAGACTTGCTAGCCGCAACAGTATCGCAGTCCCGGTCCGTAGAATTGGTTAACTTCTGATTGTACGCCACTTGGAATTTAACCGCCTCGTATCTGAAAGATTGGAAATTTTTAGTTAAAATTATTATACTACCAGTTGTTTTAATAGCATAATTGGTAGGTATTGACAATATTACAGTTTAATTAGAAATAATGAATAAATATCATTGTACCTACCACATGTATTTACTATAAATATAATATAGGTACCAACATATATATTATTCATTGTAACATAAGTATAAATTTTTTTCATGTATAATAAATTTGATGTTAAATATATTCAAAGTCTAACGTTTACATTCAGTACGCTTTGATTGTTTTCCTATAGGTGATAATTACTATTTTGATGTATTTCATATAACATATGCAATAATTATGTATTTTTCGATCGCTTATTTTTTGCAGGCCCCAACTTCTCGAAAGGTCCACAATTTGTATTTTGACAAAAAACCTAAATAGGGTTAATTGTAATTTGAAAAACAAAGGTCAAGGGATAAAGTATTATGTTTAAATCTTTTAACTTGTTAATTTTCTCAACAAAAACTGAAACATGTCTTATTTAATCATTTTTATGAGTATTGAAACATTCTCCGTCTTTAGGTGTAAATTATTGTTGACAGTAAGAAAGTGTGATGATGTACATATTTTTTTCAAAAAAACAATTTTAGTTTGATCATATATCTAATAAATTAAGCACGGATTATATGGTTTTGTCTTCTAAGTGTTGCTGTGTATAGTTTAATGACTTACTTGATTCCACACGTGTCTTGGTATCTTCTAAAACATGTCGCGTAATTTAAATTTCCCAAATAGTGCCCCATCCCTCTGTTGTAATTGAAACTTTCGAATGAACCATGTTTGTCAGTGAAGTATTGTAAACAACCTTCTGGCGCTAAATGAAAGTAAACAAATAATAAATACTGGCGTCTTATTCGATGACGTAGTGAAAATAGACTGGTAGTTTGGTAAATATTATATATTATTATGTTTTGTGTACATATTTATTTAGCTGTAGATTTGGCGCTTTCTCTATCTACTTACCTAGGCTATAAGTGGGTTTTGCGGCGTCTCTCTCTTCATCTTCCCAATCCCAGACTTGGCGTGCGATGTCTTTAATCTTCCACCAGTTGGTCGACGTCGTTTGGCAATCCAGTTGCGAGATTTTTAATCTCCAAAATGGTTCTGGATCAGTGTAGTCTTCATCTCTTGCAGTCAACTGGAATTTTAATGTTATTTGTTGCTTGTTGTTTTTTGAGTCAAACTGCTGCTGATTTACTGGCACGTACACTATGATACAAAATATATACGTTATAGACAAAGATTCTCGGTAATCATTAAGTGAACATTGAAATTTTAATTGCTATAGATAATAAAAATTTTTGAACGGAAAGTTGATTTTTTTTTTAATAATTTTACCATGTTGACCGGAATTTTCACCGCATAAAACGGGTACGTTTATTTTGGTGTCACCGTTCAAAATTAATGTAAACTCGTCACGTTCACATGTGTACGCTGATTCTGACGTCTGTTTGGTTGGTTGGCCGAGTGAAAACCTTTCGAAATCGATTCTAAAAGAAATTTTGTTTGTATAATATATATTATGTTTATGCAAAAATAAGTATATCTATAAAAGTCGACGTATAGGCATAAATTATAAATTATAAATATTGCGTTGTTGGACCATAGTACTGTACCTTATTTGGCATACATTTCGTCTGACGTTTATCTTATACGAGCAAATGTCTTGGAATTTCTCTGGGCTTTGAAAATATGTCGTGCTTGAACTCGAAAATCCACCACAGGAATTAGGCATAACTTTAAAATGAATAAAATAACACATATTTATAATAAGTTATGGAAAATAAACTTGGCTTGTTGTAATAAATACTATACAAATAAATTATTATAATATTGAACAATTTTGAATACATATTACATATTATATCAATATACTTACAATTAAACACTTTTACATTCATTTGATCAAATTAATAGTTATTAAAGAACATTCAATGTATTATAACTCATTATTTATTTAATATTTTTATTATTTAAAATAGTTGTATTAAAGTATTGTCGTTATTGAATGTACAGTTTTTAGTGTTAGTTAAAGGAAATTCATAATTTCTGTTTATATTTTGTGCTTTTACTTTGTATTAGACGAATTTATTGTGTATATATGTTAATATATATGGATGGAGAGCTATACCTTTATAATTTTATCGCGAGTTTAAAACGAAGCAATTTACAATGTTTTTGTTTAATCTCGAAGAATGGTAAGTTTGTACAGTCTAGGCTAAATATAGAAAGTATAAATAATTATACACGGCATAATATTTTACTGGTTGAATTCTGTATGAAATTTGTTTATGAACAATTGTAACTTTTTTTGTCTTGTTAATTAATTTTATATTTTTAAGTAAATATTAAAATAAAATGGTAAAAAATATAAAATTTCAAGCTTACTGGTAAAAACAATGCTCACTCCGAATGTTTCGATACATTACATATACGTACCTACGTATTGTTCTATCTTTGATATTTGTTTTTCAATTAAAAAAATGTTTGGATAATTTTAAAAGTATTTACATTATAATTCGTACAGTTAACACGAACAGATATGCGGATGAACGCTGCAGCTACCACAAATAAACACAAATTTATTAATATAAGTAGGTATATGTACGGTACATATTATATATATAATACATTAGGTATTATAATTTTGACGAACATTCAACCTAACTTAATTATACAATCAATGTTACAATAATTATATTACATCATTACCTGAACAGCAAGAATCGAACGGGAAACACCTGCCCACTGACTTTCCGTTAACTTCTGCGCACTGGCTTTGGCCCATACAAACCCCAGGTCGACCGTTCATCCCGACGCATGAACGTTTGGATCCTTCCAGTATATTCCATCCTGAAACAACAACAATCGGAACGATTGTTTAGATCGGACGAAAACGAAAAATAAAAATTAATTGTTCAAATGACCGATTGTCAAGGTGTATTATAATATACGTATAATACGTAAAAACATAATAACTTATAACACTATGAATATTCTATTGGCGTGTTATTCATACACGCACCTCTGCCTTGACGTTCGTCGTCGTTATCCGTTGCCTGCCCGATGACGGCTAATGCCAAAGCCGTTAAACACGTCACGGTCGCGAACATTTTAAACATTTTAATAACTACGTTACGAAAAAATATTATATTATTTTATGATGTAAATCGCGTGTTAAACCAAAAACTGATAACACTCTGATGTGTAAATGATGAACACAGTTTAACTGAATGTATTGATTGTGAGTTGGGTTCAAGTCTTATATAGTCGGCTGTACGCAAAGTGCTTATCTGCTTTGAATTTCTGGAAAGTCAAGATAAACCGTACATTATAAGTAACCGCATCTGTGTTTACTAATGTCAAACATATTTTGTTGTCGACCCGACGGTAAACATATATCGCCGGGAGTTCGGCTAATTGCTAAAGATAATGAAAAAATAGAACACACATAAAATGTTTTGTATCCGGTTCTATCAGTATAGGCGATTTTTAGAACGGTTGCACAATAATCCGAGTCTTTTGGAATCGCTTTTTAAATTTAACATAGATATGCACTAAATACGATGTTATCATCTGATACGTAAATTGTGGTTATCTAAAAATTATTTGATCACATTTTATTTTTGAGCAATTTTATATCACTTATTGGTACAATCAAATAATTAACAATAATGAATGTTTAACCTACATGGGTGTTATATTGATCGTACATTTTTTCTTTTATTATTCAACCTAACCATATAAATTATAAATTATATATTAGTATACACGTGTCAAATGCTGTGATAAAAAATGATATATATGGTGTTAAAATAGTACCAATGGATAGTCGATATAATTTTAAGATAAAAATTGAACTAATGTAATATATTAGTAGAGATATTCAATAGCTGCATTTACGCTATGAATATTATCACAATAATTATTTTGATTCTCGGTAAGAATCTTGTTAGGCTTATAAAAAGTGAGTATTATTGTGATGTACTCACGCATTTCAATAGGTTTTACATTTTATTATTCGGCGCATCCGAGTTGGGTCCCGAGTACTAGGGTAAAATCGTAGGTACTACACTAGTTGGGTCCGGATTTATTTTTTTAGGTACTACACTAGTTGGGTCCGGATTTATTTTTTAGGTACTACACTAGTTGGATACGGGATTATTTTAAGTAAATATACAAGCCAAACGAAAAAAAAATTGTTATTTACATTGATTATAATCAATATATTTTTAGCTATTACTTTTTTGGTATTTTTAATATTATTTCTTTGTTTAGTACCTGTGTGTAATTGCCATTTACTATTAAAAAAATTCTAATAATTTATATTTTTAATGGCAAAAAATATAAAAAAAATAAACTGTAAAAAACATTTTTAACCATACCTTTGGTCTAAATAGATCATAGATAGTCCTAAGTCTGTTAAAATGAGAAGGAAAATGATATTATGTAGTACTCACCAAAAAAAAAAAAAAAAATTAAGGACCCAACTATAGTTATAGTACCTATAAAAATCACGGACCCAACTAGTATAGCAATTTTTAATTCGGGACCCAACTCGGATGCAGTCTTATTATTATGATAATTAATTAATTGCATACCGAACTCTTATTTTATTGAAAACCATATTATTCTTTGTTTTATATCACTCGTTGTGCTTTTCAAAATGTTAACAGCGTAAAGCGTTTATACCTACTGTGGTTTTGTATAATATAAATTGTACGATCAAAACAATATTTACAGACGTTACAACTTACCAAGTACAAAAACGACGATGATAATAATCATCATATAAATAACTTTTATTATTATTATTATTTAAGAAAATTATGATTGGTTTTTTAAGATTATATCGTGATTTATAAAAATACAAAATTGTTTTAACATAACGACTGGATATTTAAATATTTAAATATATGTAAATATTGTTTTGAATGTATTGAAAAGTATGTATTAGAGCTCAAGCCTTATTATTAGATGCATTTTAAACAGCGACTAAATGAAAGAGAAAATAAAGTTATATGTGGGTACTATTATACTATTGCAATCATGATTTTTATTTGCTTTGCGGTATATGAATGAACTTTTTCATACATATAAAAAGGATAAATAATAAACTTGAACAATTTTATACTCAACAATTTATCTATAGTTTACGTATAATTTCTATAGAAAAGTTTGTTACTTCATGCACTAAATTCCATGTTTTATCACTGGATGGGCCTTTCACTGTTCTAAGCTTTTTAAAATGTAGCAAATTAATTTTTTTATTTTATATTAACCGTTATAAACATAATTTATACTTATAGTAAAAATATATTACAGATTGTACACAAATTCTAAAAAATTAAAAATTAAAATTAAAAAACTACAAAATTCTGAAGTAAATTGTAAAATATTGAAGATATAATAAAATACATATAATTTCATTACTGTTACTAATATTTCTAATTAATTTATATTATACAAAAAAATGTATGTAAGATAAAAGTATTTATACATAAGCGTTCTTATGAAAATATAAATTGACTTTGATCTTTTAAAATATAATTATATTGTTTTATTAAAAAAAGAATGCTTTCTGTGGGTTTTTTGTTTTGAAATTATATTATACAAAATAATGTTTATTATAAATATCATCTATTCTTAGTTATAATTTATTATAGCTATTGCTATATATTTATATCAAATGAACTTAAGAGAGTTCTAAAACTCCTAGTAACTTTTTTTCTTTTTTTTAGTAATCGGGGGGGGGGGGGGGAGTAAGGAAAACAAGAATTTTTACACAAATCAAATTTTGGACAAAATCGGTTTTATTTAATTATTTTTTTTTTTTTTTTTGGTGTAATTCAAAAACGAATAATTGTAGATATTTGAAATTTTCACAGAATGTTTATACTATAATTTTTTTTATGTGATAACATTTTCAAAATATTTCAAATTTTTTGAGCTATTTATAAAGACAACAAAATTAATTTAAAATTAATTTTTATTTTTTCAATGATTAAAATATTGATAAAAAATATAAATCCCAGGTAGAAAAGCTTAAAATTAAATATAGGATTCCATATATACTATATTCTGTATCTTTATAAAATCTACAAACATGTATAGACGATTATTTTTAAGTTCTAATTTGAACAAAATTATTTATTTAAACAATAAATAACGATGTTAATTATCTTTTGATAATTTAAAAACATAATTCGAGGGAACTTTTACGTATATTATATTATTATGAATTTTAATACACGTAACAACATTTTTGATTTATTTTAAGATATAATCTATTTTTATTGTTTTACGGTATTTACAAAAAGATGTTATTACATTTTGAGTTATATAACACGATAATATAATATACAGTAAAAATTTATATTATTATAATTCTTTAATAAATTTAATATTTTCAAAAAAATGTTATCAACCTATTGCAATATTATAAGTTTAATAAATGACTTTTATAATAAATTATGCGTGTATTAAATAAAGCATACCATAAAAATATAGTTTGTGGTATAGGCTGACACTCTGATTGACTGTCTCTGTTAAAAATCGTTTTTCGTATAAAATGATAAATATCATTGAATTCAAATGTAAATAATGTAATACACCCATAACAATGACTCATTCGACATCTATGTACAGCAGAGCGGTAACTCACTTGTTTTCCTTTTTATTGTAGCATATTACAACATAATTTCAGCTAGTTTAAAAAACATTTAAAGAATGTAATAAAAAATAAATCAAGTATTAAATATAATATATTGGGTGTGATTTTGGTTGTGTTAAGTAAAAATATTGTCCTGGAATACGTGGTGTAAAAGTTCTGTTGCTATCACTACAGACCAATAGACAATTGGTATTTTTATAATTTAATTTGGTTTTTGATTTTTATCATTGTTGTTGCCATGATTGTATTGAGATTAGTCTTATTAATTGTTTAATATCTTAAAAGGTGACGAGGAAATAAATAAATTCATTCAATGATATGAGTCAAGCTTTTAGAATAAATTAAAAATAATGATATTATTTGATCAATGTTGATTATAAAAATAACTATATAAGTATTCGTTTCTGAGGTATCACCACTGAGTGACTTTCCAAACCACGTCTCCCGGCTCTTTCCCTCAATAAATTATTGCATTGACTTATTATAGGTACTACCTATATGTATTTATTTGTATAGATTGTAAATTTATTATTTAAAAGAATAATATAAAAAGGTATTCGTAAATGTTTAATACTGCATTATATCAAATATTATTATGAACCTTATTTGGTTGAATCAGTGCCGCGTTAAGCTATGTTGCCGCCCCGGAGCAAATTAAAATATGCCGCCCTTACAAAAATTACAATTCAAAATTATATTCAACACACTATTAATACTAATGATTTACTTGTAACAGAATATGTTTGAGGAAAAAACGTACAGAAATAATGAAAATAGTTTATACGTACAATTATTAGAACAAGTTCTTAATTCTTATCGCCTTGTGACATGTAGCGGTAGACGGCGGCTTTTTCGCGGTATTTATAAACGAAATAATATGTACTCATTATAGTTATACAGTCACACAAAAAAAAAATTATAATTATAATTTTTTTATTTTATGTTGATCCTCCAAAATTTGCCGCCCCGTCAAACATCATAAAATTTGCCGCCCTGGGGCAATTGCCCCCCCCCCTTGCCACCCGTTAAACGCGGCTCTGGCGGCTGAATGCATTTTTATTCTCTAAATAAATAATAAAATCTTCAGTATGAATCATAATAGTTTTTACTTTAATCATTATTGTTTACACGAATGTAATTATATAAATACTTTATTAAAATAACTCAATATTTTGATGTATTATATGATTGAATATCTAATTCACTTAAAAAGAATATTATGCAATAATATAAAAATCATCATTTTATAGAGTAGTATTATATCATTTTTTTTGGAGGCTAATGCCCCGAAAATCGTCCGTCAAATATCCGACCAACCACTCACGCGACAGCATTTATTTAGTTATATTAATTGTTTATTATATGACGTATAGCATTCGAGCTGATTTGTTTGTTCAGTGCATGGTTTTTGCGACCTCCGTTTTCGGGGGGAAGGATCTGAGCTATCCCCTCAATATGTCACTTTATCCCAGAATTACGGCTCTTGTCTAAATGGTCTTTATGGTCGTCGCGTCTCCACCGTATCGACCATACACAAACTACATTTTGATCATATATTTATTTATGTATTACGATTTATGTATATATATACGACTATTATTGTTATACAGTATCTATACATATTATAATATACGGTGGTGTATTTTACGATCCTCGACGGAATCATTATTCGCATTTCGGACCGACGTCTAAATTTAATCGACTTAGGGGGGATAATCCTCCGTTCTACGAGTTTTGGTTCGCCCTCGCGCATAAATTATATAAATAATGTATTTAACAAATGCGGCGACCGCTATGGCCGCAGTCTTTATGCCTTATGGCTTATATACGTTATATAATATAGGCGCTCAACGTTAGTAGGATATCGCACAAATATATACTATAAATTATAATAACGCTTTACGAGCGGCGTCCCAATCGGAAAATTTTTGACCGGTCCGCCATGATTATACAGTACATATATATATATATATATTAACATATAACGCGACGTGACGTGATGTAATAATAAAATGTATTATATTTTTATGTATTTTTTCTCCCCGAACGTTCTTGGCGTTTAACAAGAATACGCGGAAAGAGCCGAAAAAATAACTATGTGAGGCGGAGACACATTTCACTCTAAAAGGGCGAAATGGATGAATTGTATAAAACTGTTATGATATAATAATATATATACATATTATTATATGGGCATGAGTTTTATAATAAAAGTGACGAGAAATAAAAACGTTTCGTCGGTGATAATAAAATACATATTATTTGTAAAAAAATCGTTCAAAAGAGATATATGACACGTCGGAGATTCATATTATTATAAACGCATAATGTGTCGCTCAGTGGACTTATATCGATGAGTAAAAGGTATATTTTTAAAAATACGATTTTATGGGACACGTCATTATATATAAATACAAGTTATCGGGTATAGTATATCACACCTTGCTATCTTGAATAGATTGTACTATAAAATAATATTATAATTTATAAGTTTATGACTATCTGTATATTTAGGTAAAAGGGTTTTTATTCCGTTCAAAAGTCGTGGACAGGATCAATTCAGTACGATACGTTTATTATATTATTATTTATTACATCGCTATTGAATTATTTAAAAACATAATATTACACAGCATATTGTTATACGCGACGGGGTAAATATTCTATTCACATGTCAAAAGTGTGTTGCAGGTGAATATATTATATTGCATTATATTAATATATATTAAAGAGTATATACTCGATTTTCTGTGTGTGAGTTATTCGATTATCAAGAAGAAAATCTGTATATTTTACGCCTCATATATGACTGTAGTAGGTAAATTACTGCAGGTACATATTATACATATGTATTATAAATACATATTATTGAGATTTTAAAACTATAGATTCATTGTTTTTATAATTATTATTCGTTATGACGAAAAAAAAAATAAATATTCCTGAATGATAAATGAATTTAAAATATTCTTGATTTAAAAATGAATCACGAACATTATTTGATTATTCATACTTACAGAACAGGATTTTTGGCAGAAAAAATGTATTTATTCATCTTTAGGCGTAATATTTTTATAATAGTTTTAGACATTAATTGTATCTATGTATAATTTACATTGTACATCCATGTAATTTTCTCTTATAGTTTATAAGTTAATGATAGATCGGCGTAATAACTGACAAAATCAAAGAATGTTTTTTAAAATTCGTCATTAAAAACAAAATATTAGTGAATTCTAAAAATTAATTTCATATAAATTTCAATTTAAAATGTTTTTATGTAACTTTCAGTTAAAATAATATTTCAAAAGAAGTCTATGAGATAATTTTAAAATGTTATATTTTATTTTCATAAAAATAAAATCTTTTATCTCTAGTAATTCCTTAAAAGCACTAATTGTACAATAATTGATTTGCTTCAACGTGTATTGAAAATATTCAATGAGAGTATAAGTCATAAGACATAAGTACTTTAAAAATATATAAGTTTATACGTATATTATATATTATATACCTACGTCATAATACACTTGTTGAAAACTTTTATTTTTGATTTAACATATCTACTTGCTTGAACAGCAAAAATCATGATTTTCTATTAGTTTTCGCTTCAACATAATAATTATAAATATTATTAATATGAACTTATAAGCAATCGCTTATGCCGTATATAAATACAATGAAAGAACAATTTAATATATACGCGTAATTATAATATTAATATATTATATGTTGCCGTCCGTCATGACAAAATCACAAGGAGAAAACGATTCCGCATAATATACTATATTTACGAGTTAACACAAAAGTGCTTCGGACCACGATTTAAGTGTTTTATAATGTATTTTCATATAAAGGATACCAATTTATCATGTGAACCTATAGAGAAATCTAAACGGTCGAGAACATTACGTGGAAGACCGTAGTTAGGAAACGTTTAAGTATTATACTATCAGTCCGTTGAAAGCGAAATTCGTGACCTGTAATTATAATTTAATTAAAAACGGCTCGATATATATGTTTTTGTTTGTTTATTTATAGGGTTGTGCATTATATCGGATCACACCATTTTTACAGTGATCGTCAAACGAGTCGAATAAAATAAGCACCGCAATACTTTACCAGACAACACAAAAAAATGTTTTCCACTAAAATTTTCATCGTGTTTACGCTTTACAGTCTGACTTTGGATAGTATTTCTGGAAAACCTTTCGTTGGTAAGTGTATTCGACAGCGAAAATAACTGTATTGTTAAATAAAACTAATATTATTTGATTTAACCTAATATTATGAATGGTCAGTAAACTTGGGCATAATATTGTGTGCGATTTTACTATTGCAGATGGACTGACAGCGTGCAAAAGAAGCGATCCAAATTTGGACGAGTGTCTGTTGAACATGCTTAAACAGACTAAACCTCAACTCATACAAGGTAAATGGAGAAAAAATGCATAGTTGTTGCAACCGTTTAAATTGCTTCTAAACTTTCGTAACAATCCTTGATGTAATGTGGTCAATGTTGTAACGACAACTACTATATAGTGTTACAATAAATCCTGAATCCCTATTTCAGTGCGTGGATAAACGCTTAATATTTTAGTTACCGCTTTAACCATATTTTATCTTATCTAACTTCACGAATTTCCTTAACTCTAGTCCTCTACGCTTCGGTTAAATTATTATTTAAGTATACTTAAACGCTCAGACGTTTGTTTATTTTGCAGGTAACCCGGAACTGAATCTGCCGCCATTGGACCCAGTGCATATCCCCAGGGTTTCGGTATACAAGAATATGCAAGATATCCGGGTGACTGGAGAGCTATCCAACCTGACGGCTAAAGGCGCCAGTTCGATTACCTTCAAAGCGTTAAAGTTCGTACACACACACACATACATAGATATACCTATATACATATATGTATAAATACAGAGTATACATTGACTGTAGAAAAAATTGACAATATACCACCGATATAAAGGCATATAGCTATCAATATATCTACATTTACATATTTTAAGATGATTCAGCGTATACATTTTTTTCGCACTATGCGTAGAATACCGTAATTTATAAAACTAGATAGGTATTTAATAACAATATTATATTGTACATGACTAATGATGTATACTTCCATACGACACAATAATTAATTATAAACAATTATTAGTGCCTAATGAAGAATTCATTAAGTATTTATTTTTTGTTTTAATTTATCGAGTACTACCTAACTATAGTACAACGTGTATAATCAAAATTGTTGGTATAACCCATCTCTATACAAATATACAACGGAATACAAAATTATAATATACGTTTTCATTGTTTTTGTATATTACAGAGTAAATTTAAGAGAAAACACATGGGACATGGTCATAGCGGTTCCTCTCATTACGTTCGTCACGGACTTCAACTTGAACGTCACGTTAAAAGTTATTCTTATGCCAGTCTTTGGAAATGGACTGTGTGACGGAAAAATTAGTGAGTTTTTTATTATTATTATTTATTTTTTTATAATTAGAACGCCGTCCTGGGTATGTAGGGCCGCTGGACGTAGCATTTTTACACATTTTTTAAATAGTTTATAGAGTAAGAAAAGTTTATGATAACATTAAAATCATTTGAATGTTGTTATTAAATTACATAATTAATATTTAATGTACACATTTTATTTGTAAGTCGTTGGTTATATTATTAATTGTGCTGCGTTGGTAGGTATATTTTAACTCGCTGCAGCCAATCAGAATCTAAAATCGACATTGAACCATGAACAATATACCCATTTACAATAAACAATAATTAGTTTAAATACATATTACATTGTGTTTTGAAAAATGTTAAGTGTATAGGTACTCGCAATATATTAAATTACTGATTATAATTTAATGTGGACTTGTTTTATATTTTCAGGTCGTAGTGTCGTTCGATTTCACGCTAACACCGAAGTGAAAGACGGTAAATTGAAGTTGAATGATATCAAAATCAACTTGAGCCTTGGTGACGTGGAAGTGCACATTATAAAATCGCAAAACCCAACATTGGGTAAGACCACACTTTTCCTTAATGATAATCGTACACAGGTCTTTATAACAAAGTCTCGCACAATGAATATAATATGATATAAAAATTATATTGAGTGCGTATTGTTGCTTTCCGATTGACGGTCGATGCCCTTCATCGTGCAGTACTGCATCTTATCTCATATATATAGACTTTGAAAATAATCGCAGCAGTGCACATATTATATTATTTATACAATTCTGTATACGTGTATAATGTATTTACTTAACTTTTAGATTATTGTGTACGTCTAGTCAATATTATAATATTTAAACGGTTAATGGTTCGTTCGCGTATACACTCTGGTTAAATTGCGTACATATTAGATAAAAATATTTGATGTGCATAATATAGTAAGTAATAGGTAATATATTATATTGAAATATAGTATGCGGACTAAATTACTTAAAACGAATTATTAGTGATTTCCGGGGAACGGTGAAAATATTAAAACGTTACTAATACCGACTATCTTTCACGTAATAATGCATTTATTTATTGACATATAAAACGGGTTTTTATATAACTAAAAACAAAAATCCATATTGCAACAAAATTCAATTTAAAATATGCGTTATGTATATAAAATATTTACACAGACCATTTTTTTTTATAGGAGCATGAAACATGTCAAGTTCCGCTTAAAATGTCAAATGTTAATACTTGCTATTATTTTATACTTGACTAAAAAAAAATTTATATCTACATTTTATTTTAAAATAATTCAATCATTCTATTATAAAATTCTTCGTAAATAACTTAGGTGCAATTAATTTACGTTAAATATTAAAACGGGCAGTGCTTTTTCTCCATTGGTATAGTATCTAAGTTATTTCAAGTAATGTTTATATACACTATGTAGTATGTATCTACTACCTATAAACTATTTAAGGATTTGCATGAATAATAGGCACCTAGTTTATAATAGTATATTAATCTAAATATTAATAATTATATTATTTATGATACTTCAATATTGTAATTTAAAAAAAAAAAATAATAATAATATTCCAGTAATTATTGTCAAAAATGAACTTTTAAAACTTAGGATAAACTTTTATAGTTTGTAACAGTAAAACTGGAGATTAAACTTGTTCTTGTGATAGTGTTTTTAAAAATAAATATTAAGTAAAAATTAAAAATTTAAAACAGTTTTAATTGTTACTGAAATATGTTGTTAACATATTAAATAATTTCGGCTGCTATTCGTATACCTATATATTATGTACACATGTATTGATTTATAATTGCAATTGATAAATATGACGTGTAGCTGAATATTATATAGTGATTAGTGCAATAAAATATATAAAATAACAGTATATTAAATGATTAATAAACATTAAACATGAATCGTACATGTACCTATATCTTCTAGGATAGTCACTAGTCGTAATAATAAATAACATTTATATTATATCCCATAATGATACAGAATGAATGTGCCCATTGTGTTTGTCCTCTTCGTTGATAACTTATTTATATTTTTGCATACGGGATTTTAAAAATTTATTGAATAGCTGCAACTCTTGAGACATTTTTCGGTTAACTTTAACTGAAAAAAAATCTATTTATTTTCTGAGAGATGAAACTCTATATTTTAATCTTCGTTGTGTGTATTCAAAATGTAAATATAGGATTATATGTATTGGTTTTAAGTCTAGACGAGTAACATGGCGGGCGGGTTTATACTGTATTCATGTGTCAAAAACCATCACATAGTAATATATCATACACGATTTAGCATTCGATCGTTTTTCAGCGCAAACAACGTCGCAGTTTTTCAACACGAACAAGCGCATGATTCTCGACCTGGTTACGCCGGTCGCCGAGGACGTGGTACGACAGATGTTGCTCCGATACAGCAACAGAATTCTATCCACGATTGAGATTACGGATTTGTTGATTGACTGAGCCGACAAAATCTTCGTGGATATTGGCACGGCTACGTGTCATATACTTTGAACAATTATATATTATAATATTATAAAGTACTTTTTTCTTAGACTTAAAAAGTACTATGATATATTATTATAGACTATTCGGTTGGAGCACTATACATTTATATGAATAAGACTTCGGCATAAATCCTGATACTTTGATTTGCGCTCGGGTATCATCATATTATAGGCTTTGGTCTCATGCTTGTATAGTTGTATATACCTGTAGGTGTCGCACTGATGCAAAAATCATAATAACAATCAATTAATTACTAATTATTATAGACTCCAATATAGAAAAATAAGCGTATGTTATAGACTTAATTTAGACCTAACATGTATTATATCTCATCAATACCAATTAAAAACATTTATTATTGTATACAGTATTGATATTATTAACTAATTTTTTTTTTCTCAGGAAAATATATTTTAAGTTTGAATCGTACTAGAGAATTATATTATCATCTATATCACCCGTGTAATTTATTATTTATTAAACGATATCATCTTAACTTCTTAACAATATATTTCTAATACTTTGTACCTATATAATTTATTTGATTGTAATATAGTATGTTATCATGTTAATAATTGTTGTTACACTTTTATCGATAGTTTTATTTTATTTGCTATATAAATAATATACCCTGACCCACTTAGTATGGTAATTATTCATAGATATGATAAGTAATAACTAATAAGCATAATATATTTATGATTTGTTATTGTCTTATCGATAATTTACTATACACATAGTTTAAACAATATAGATGGGTATATATAAGGATTACTTAAAAATTGTATTTAAATATAATGTCATTTTGTACACATAATATTAAAGTTTCTGTATACAAATACAATTTAGTATCATATTATTATAATACCGCTATTTCTGTACAACACTAAAGTACCTACCTCCGGTTCCGTCATCGTCGCAATTCCATAATATTACGTTCTACAGACTACAATAACAAATGATTATAACGTATTACTAAGCAGAAGCTAAAATATAAAAATACAAATAGTTTTATACATTTTTAAGACGTGTCATTTTATAATCCGTAAACTATTTTATTTTTGACGAATAACACGTTATACATGGAAAAAATAATTTAAATTTATCTAACCACAATTTTCTACACACTACCCAATATCAACAAATATTGGTTAATATAACGGTCACAAATGTACCTACTTAAAATATGATGAATGCTGTCACAGGTAATGTGAATTTGCTGATAAAATATTATGTATGTTGTATCTAATATTAAAAGAAACACAACTCACAAGCTTCATTATTGGGCAAATACCTTCATAAGTATTATGGAATCTATATGACCGTTACGTCCAAAATAAAAATAAATTTCACCATTCGGTAGTAATACTAAATACGTGTGACTATAATATTATGTATAATACCTACATTATACAGAAATTCAAAAAATTATTTATTGTACGTAATTAAATTATACTATTTATAAAATATTCAAGAAAGTGTGTTCATTTTTTAACAGTAAAAGAAGATGTTCTCGAGGACCAGCGTTCAAAATATTAATCGAAACCGGTTTTCATGAATAGTTTATTGTACAGATATTCAATGTTTCCCAAAACCGTTGTACGTACCAATACCCAGTTTGGACACTATACATATATTTATTATATAGTGTGCATTTTTGATTTCGATAATCGGAGATATTTTTGTTTTATTTTTTACACCCATTTTTACTTTGCAGGTTTATTATCGAGCTTCCTCAACCCGTGGACTACGTACATATTAGCTACAGAATATGTTAATTATTATACATATAGATTATATTTTTTGAGATTGCCATAAACGCACATTTTATGTATTAAAGTTTTATCTATGCTTTCAATGTTAATCACCCACAATTGGAATAGATCATTCGTAGGTCCTGCGAACTGGAGTACTTTATTGGGATTCTTTATTTTATTTAGGTACTCGTATTGTGCACTGAATGGATCGACATGCAAAACAAGTGAAGCATACAGCTTCATTAATTTATATATTTATAATAAAAGGGAAGAAAAAAAAATATAAACATTTATTTTTTTTATTTTAAAAGATAAATACTAAAGAAAAATTGGTATGTTATGTCCCAAATTCATAAGCACAATACTTATCACCTCGATATTTATCACAAAGTCTTAACATTTTTAATATTATAATTGTGTTTTGTATTCACGAATATAAAGAGTTATAATTGTTTTTAAATCGTTTTCGTTGGTAGGTATATAGTTTAAAAATATATTTTTCTTTCAGAGATTTCGATTTCACCTACCTCACTAACAATTAAGTCACAATCTTACTACAATATATGAATTATGAAGTGCATTAGAGCCCAACAGTGGTGTATTTAAGGTAGAGATTACCTAGGGATATATGTATATTTTAACTATTGAATAAATTCAATCACAACTGATTATATATTATCAATCTATTACTACAGAATTATGCTTAAGGTCTAACATATATATGCTAATAAATATACATAATCCATACATTTTCTTATTTGAATTGAGTCAAAACTCGCTGTCGAATCGCTCTGAGTGAAAAGTTTATAAATTATTATTATCCTAAATAAACTAATATTTACTAGAAGTCCTTGAACGAACTGTCAATGTTGTTCATTCACAGAATATTACAAAATATTAGGGTATTATTGATGGATTTGCAAAGTAAAATATGAAATTATAATTTTATCATATAAACATCAATAATATTGATGTTAATATTTAAATTTTTTTATAATCATGTAATTTTTACACATTTTTCATATTATACTCGTTGGTCTTGAAAAGTTATTTTTTAATATTTTCCTCCATTTACCTAAGTCCTGAATACACCGTATGTGCTTAATGCATTTGCCCGCACCGCGTTGTCTGTATGCTACCGTGAAGTAGGTATGAAGCTAGTGAGAATGCGACGTGGCGGTCGCTGACAAATCCAAAATTACGATGGCGAAAAACATAACGTATTGTGCTATGATGAATTAAATATGTGTCACGTTTCTGGTCATTAAGTACGGCTGCGACGGCGTTTGTTTAATATGTTTTAGCGGACCGAAGGCAAAAACGTCGTCGTCAGTCGATTATTTCATCTGGCGCCGCGCCGCCCGCCGTCCGGTGTCGTCGATCGACCGGGTGGTGGAGGTGTCGGCGGCGCGGGCACTCCAGCGGGCCAAGCAGCAGCAGCTGTTTGTAGTCACCGTCCGCGTACAGCGCACGTCCGACCTGCACGCAAACCGAACGTTTCCCGACGACGACGCCCGCTCGTGAGTATAATATAATATTATATATATATATATATATCTCATCTCTAATAGTTATCATTGTTATCACAAAAACTTCTGTCTTGCGTGGTAGAGGGGGGCGGCGATAAGTTCCACGTACCCAAACGGAAACGCTTCAGCGTCCCTAATATCACATTACGCACACAATTATTATAAAGTAATAATGATTTGTACGTTACGACGTTATATGAAGAGATTGTTACGGGTTTTATTTCGACTTAGATAGAATTATTTTAAAAACTATTCAAATAATTTTCCCAAATACGTTTTGAAGACGCTCGCGAGTAGATAACATGCTTATTGTTGTAGTGTTCTAGCCATTCCAGGTATTAATTAATGATTATTAATAAAATATATAAATGATTAAACGTTAAATATTATTAAAATAATCTAAAGAATATAACATGATTCTGAATAATGAATAATAAATAATACTTAAGGAACATTTTAGGGTTTTAAGATTATGTGTTTAGTAATAATTATTGTATTATCGTACCTGCAGTACATAATATTTTAAAACATTTTACGTATTAATTTTTTGTCTAAAATTGTTTTTTTGCACTCAAAAAATTAAGTTAACAATTACTACAAAAAAAAAAAAAATAAAAATAAATATATCGCACCATTCAATATTTGTACCTACCTACGTTATATGCTTTAAACATCAATTATGTTTTGCTCTTCATTATTGTTGTATCGTATCGCTTAATATTCACAACTGTTAATAATAAAAATAAATATAGCTATTTACTATTTTATAACAGCACATTAATTGTTATGGTTTGCAGAGACGAATTTAATAATTATATTACAACAAAACATTATTCCGTTATATTCGTTGCAAAATTGTTTTTTATACATTTTTGTTTTTTGGTTTTAAATTTTAACCGTTCTCTGTACTTTAACATTACGTTATTTTAATGAAGTAGTTATATGCGTATGTCTATATATCATAATAATATAATATTAATAAATTGTTACATAAATACACATCTGACTATAATTTACTGTTTGTGGACATAATTTTATTTATTTCGCTTCCATGATACTCCAAAGTCGGTTCATTTGCTATAGTAATATTTTATTACGTACCTTCACAAAGTATTTCTAACGACATTTTTTACAATCAAATTATGTTATTCGACTTTTACGAGAAGTAATAACTACCGCTTTTCTTGCTAGCAACCAGATCCTGTTCATATTATTTAAAAAATTACAATATATATATATATATACATATATATTTCATAATAACTGTCACATATTTTCTTTTCTTTACTGAATGTACACATTTAAAATATAGATAACCGACAATAAGATACATGTAATATGTTATAATGTTGTATATTATATAGAAGCGAAATCGCAGTACGCGAGTAAGCCACACAGCAATGTCGATAACCTATTATATTAATGTACAGACTATATTGTATTACATTACTATTTACTACTATGTAAACGCGCATCGTATATAATATCGAAACTGTATTACACATCATAAGTGTTTATCTTTGAGCGATACAAATTGTATTTTTTTGTATATTTCATGTTCACCCAACCTATAACAAGTAACAATATATTATTTATGTTTCGTCTCGCACGGTCCAAACTCGAAGAATAAAATCCACAGTGCAGTTTATTGAAAATAATAATATATAACTATGGTCGATAATGTTATTTTGATAAGAATTATTTAGTTATATTATAGACACATGTCCACGAGCTGCAATTATTTATCTATAGTGTGACGTTAGTATTTTATAACAACAAGTGGTAATCTAATCTCAATAGATAATTCAGTAATAATATTAACGTCTCACACGTCGCATCGCATAAAATATAACAACAAAAAAATTAATTATTAAACCTATGCAATTCTTCTATAGTGTTATTTGTAAATATAATATTATATAAAACCTACCTTTTATAATATTATATATTATTCAATATGGAAGCTCTATAGTTATTTTAGTTATTTATGAATACTGATAATTTATTCTGCTGCATGATACATGTATATTGTATTATCATCGTGGTAATGTTGGTGTCATACGACTATTATAGTTCTATTTATTGTTAGGAAACATTTGATAAATCGATAGAATATTCAAAACAGGGTACTATATGATGACGTGAAGTTTACTAAACATGTATGTAAACGTGTCGAAAACTCGAAACCAATTTGTAAGACGAAGTAACGATACTTAATAGTAACGTAATAAGGATGTGTATATTGATATATATTTATATATATATATATATATTAACAATATATGTATATTGTTGTTATTTGTTAGTGAATGATGACAACGTTGTTTCTTCCATTCGTTTTTTTTTGTGTATTGTAATATCACAATCAAATAATTTATCAAAACTACAATTTGTATTGAATTGTTATAAATTTATAAGGTTGAATTTTAAAATTCCAAAATTCTTAAATTATAATAAAATATAATTTGATGATCTGATGAATTAATACCCGGCTATCAATTAAAATTAAGTAATCTAACATACTTACATGCAAGAAACTATTATCAATACAAAAATTGTAACTAAAAAATTTATATTATATTAGTAGTTTAGTAGGGTAATAAAATATTGATCTAATTGGCATTTTGAATCTCATGTTTTCTCATATGACATTTTAATATTTTTGAACAACACGTTGAATAAAAAATTCTTATTTTTTTAACCTAGATTTAATCAATAAAATAAGAATAAATTTAAAATCGAGTTATTGAATTGTTAAAAATGTTTTTCATAGTATCTATTTAGTATTTGTTTGGATAACATAATTAATAGCTATGAATGCAAAAAAGTTTTGAAATGTATTTTGAAAGTCTTATACTCTAATTTGAGTTTTAGTCAACTTAAAACTGTAGAACAGATTAATTTTGATGTTAATAATAATTGATAATGATTGGTATAACTAGATGTTTCAAATTATATTTTATATTTTTTCGATTCTATGTCAATAAAAAAGATACGGAAAACCTGGGTGCTAATAAATGACGTGAGCATAACCGATATGTATCATAATTAATAGGATTAGGATATTTATGACCTTAAAAACACTAAAAAATGCATGCAAATATACACAATAAATAAAATAATATACCCTTAAAAAAAAATTAAATGTCTTTTTAAAATTAGTTTATTAGGTACTAATCCAAAATCTATTCCTAATCAATTTATAATACTATTTTTATAACTTTAGACTTAAATACAAATACGTACAAATATGAAATTTTTGAAATTAAAAATATAGGCATCACCGCAGATCATCGTTCATAAACATGATTATATTGATTAATAAACGTAGAGTCATAGTAAAGATAAATAAGTAATAAAGATAAGTTAATAATATAAACTACATGTTTTTTTCGTTTTCGTTAGTTATGAAATCAACTATGCCTATCTATAGGCACATATTGATGTTTATATTATATTTAAGTTATTTTTTGGATAAAATATGTATTTATTCATAAAAATCCCTAAATATGAAAAAATATGCAAAATTAAATTGAATATATCTGATTCTATGCCATACAAAATGAATATATTACTGGGTTTGCAATGTGTACGACTAAAAGAAAAAATATGCAAAAGTCTTAAACATCTTAATTTATATTAGAAAATAGTAAGATATATTTTTACTTTTTTTTTCAAAGAGACAAAGTCAATATTTAACTTTATCAAAGCGCTTAGGCTACTTTATCTTGTATATATTTACTTTCTTTTTAACTTTTTTTTTCTATGTAATTCATATATCATATTGTTTACTTTTTCACCCATTTTATATCTTATTAATTTTTGTTTGGTTTAAATATATAGGTAAATATATATTAATCAATAACTGGCAATTCATAAATCTATAAAATAAAAATAAAACATTGTTTAAACATTTAACTTTTGCAAGTAAAACTTCAAAATAAGATTTCTTCAATTTTATTTTTGTAAAATATTATTATAGGTTGAAAATGGAAGTCGATTACGCGTGGGGAACGTCATCGGATAATGTATCGGTTCAAAAGTTAGAGCAACACTTTCGAAAAAATTTTGAATCGCTTCAACCAGAATACTATATTAAAGTACCAGGCAGAGTTAATTTGATCGGTGAACATGTAGACTATTGCGGTTATTCTGTGTTCCCAATGGCTATTGATCAGTGTATCGTAGTGGCGGCGAAGAGGACAACCGATCGGCATACTGTGGAGTTGACCAACCTATGTACGGAACGGTACGAAAACGTCTCCAAAAATATATCAGATATAAGGTAAATAAATCGAAAATATTGAAATGTCTGGTTTGCAAAAAAATATAACCCTATACGAATTAAATTGTTTGTTTATCTGGACGCAGCGCGGAGTCGTTGAGCAAAAGTCCAAGTTGGTCGAACTATTTCATGTGTGGAGTAAAAGGAGCCCGAGAATACATGAGTGAAAGTCAGCTAAAAGCCGTTGAAAATGTCGGTTTTTTGTTCGCAATCACCGGTAACATTCCTGAGAGTTCGGGATTGAGCAGTTCGAGTGCACTAGTAACGGCCGCCGTAATGGCCACACTGGTCGGATACGGAGTGAGTATATCATAATTATTTATTTTAATTAATTATACATGTTATGCAAATCGATATAGTTTTTGAAAACAACACAAGATATAATTAATATAATATTGGAGTCATGCAATAATAAACATAAAAACTACCGAAATGTATGCACCTTAAGGTTTCATAACAATTATATCTATAGATATATGTTTTTTTACTAAAAATGAACTATTATTTACTTGAATTTCTTTAAAGAATAATTGCATGTAAGAATAAAAAAGGTTGTCACACAGTATTTTTCATAATATTGATATTGCAGTCATGATAAAAATATCAAAATTTACATCCCCGCAGCTCTTTGAAGACGGCGTACCTACCGTGCAGGAAAAAGTTTACGATAACGTTGTTTATAGGTACCGATCAGTAGACTCGAACTGGCAGAAATCAGCGCCAAATGTGAAAGATACATTGGTACAGCTGGCGGTGGCATGGACCAAGCGATAGCCGTGAACGGCAAACAAGGTGACCCAACGAAAACATAATAGATATTACCTATTTAATATTTTAAGTATATTATTATATTGTTCAATAAATATTGAATATGATATTATCTAATTTACCTATATTATTATAATATATACGTTTTGTTATTTATTTGTTGTTAATATTGTACCTAGTTAATTGTTATTTCGCGGAATTCAGGTTATGCGGCCCGTATCGACTTCAATCCCTTGGCGGTCAAACAATTCCGACTCCCAGCTGACGCCAAGTTCGTGGTGGCTCAAAGTTTAGCTGTCAAGAACAAAGCGGCATCTAATGACTTCAACACAAGAGTAGTTGAATGCAGATTGGCTTCGCAAGTAAATATCTTATGCGTTCAATTCGAAATGGTCCAGCATTATCTGTGCAATATGTTATATTTCTTTTGCTTTTTCATATCAGTCTGAAAATCGCGAAAGCCCTATAATTAATAAATATTTGACATAGGAAGTGTTATTTTTAAATGAAAAATACTGGTTATTTACAGAGTTTTTAAATCTATGTATTATTTTCATAAATTCTTTGTTTTATAATTGTTTTTAATATAATTACTGGCCTCTAAGACACTTCTTGACAACTCCACAAGATGCCTCCAATGCAATTGGTGTTGATATCTTCTAAAATTTTAAAATATACTTATATTATTCACAAATGTTACCATAAATCATTATAAAAGGTGACTCGACTGCGAATCATCCTTCAAGTTAATCAAAGCCAGTCAAAGCTGAAAGTATTATATTTTTTACCCATCATATTTACTTATTGTATATAGTGTACAGATTGTAAATTCTCAATAAACGCAATTTTTCTAAAAAAAATATATATAATTGTTTTAAATTTAACGAATCATTGACAAAGAATAAGGTCATTGAGAATTTAAGAGTTTCTAATTTTTATCAAATATAATTTTGCCAACCTACCATAACTGAAAGCTTTCAATGAAATTTCAACTCTTGATTTATGTTTTTCAAAAAACAAAACGGGAAATACATCCGAAAATCTGCCAATCTTATACAACAACGCAATAACAACAGTTATGAAGATCAATAAATATATGTATTTCTGTTGATTTTTATATTTATGTTACTCAATATATTTATGAACAACATTTAAAATTTATTTGATAAATTTTATGATTGATAAATTGTGAATGGGTTTCAGGTAATTGTGCTAGCAATTGAATCTCGAATGGAAGCAGATGACTGCGTTGGCGACGTTGCAAAAGCGTTCAGGCAATACGCTGGACCAAATGATCGAATTGGTTCATCAGTACTTGCACGTCGACAGGTATTCAAAGTCAGAGGTATGATGGTTGATCGATATATACTCGTATAACATATCGTTTATTTGACTTTATAACTAGAACAATCGTTTTTCTTTCATATAGGTGTAAATATTTATCAGTAAAAGAAGACCGCTCAGCGAGTTCAGTTTGACGTCAACAGACGATGATGTCGCTGATTTTTCTTGCATCAAAGACTTACATGTTGAAGGTGACGATTTTAAATATTTTAATAAATGAGAAGTGATGAAAATATGAACTAAAGTTAGCCAATGTAATTTTGTAATTATGTAGTGCTAAAAACACACGTACGTTTGAAATATGCAAAACAAAGTGAATTTTAATAAATAAAACAAATATTAATTAAAACGTGTATTAGTTTTATTATAAAATATACAAATCCCATAGAATAATCGAAAATAAATGGGTACAATGGTACTGTAATAATAAAAAATATTTTACATAGAAGTCCATAAACAAAATTTCGTGGATAATTAATAATTATTAATAGATTGACGGCCTTTATCACATGCTATTCTGATTTTATTTGTTTCAATCAAAAAATTTACTTTAATATTTTTAATTTCACAAATTGTAAATTTATTTATTTTTAATAATAATTTAAAAAAAAGTTATATAAGATTTAAGAAAATACTTCAAAATAATAATTATCAAAAACAAATAGATATCATTATTTATTTAATTTTTTACTTTGAAAAAAAATGTAGCTTGAGTTGCGGAAAAAAATTTAAAAAATATAAAATAGCACAAATTTCCGATGTATGCAACAACAATAAATAAATAGTATTTTACTATTTTTCAGTGATCTATAAAAAAAAAATTCTGCACTTTAATATCTTTAAGACGTTTTGAAACTAATATACAAATGGTTTACTCGAAAGTCACGAACTTTTGGAGTGACTACCAAACGATCATCACAATTTGTTATTTAAATTGTTTTAATTCTTAACATGCATCTTATGTTACAGAGGCCAAACGGATGGAAGAGTTTTGTAAGTTATGTGAGAATTCTGGAAAAGCGTCGGACCTCGGGAGATTGATGGACGATAGCCATTCGTCACTGCGAGATCTATATCAATGCAGTCATCCGGACCTGGAGGAATTAGTGGCAGTATGTAAACGGGAAGGCGCGTACGGATGCAAGCTCACCGGTGCCGGGTATATTATATTTTATTTGTATTAATTTCAAAATAAAGTCGGGAATAAAACATTATATAAATAAAGCATTAGTTGAATAATCAATTTTCGAATAATCGTACGAATATAATTTACTCAGATTGTACGATTATAATATGATATAATATCATATACATATAAATATATATTTTAATATTTTAAGAAATCAATATTCTTAAAGTATTTAAAATCTATATACAAAACTATTATTATAAATTAAAAAAATAATAATTCATATTTTATTATTATTTTTAATAATTTGAATTTTAGTTTAACTTCTTTAAATTATTATTATTAATTTTTTTTACACTAGATATTAGTTATATAACATATATAATTATGTCTATGAAAATATGTAGATATATAAAACTTTAGTTTCTAAGAATTTAATATTAATATTGTACAGTTTTTGGTATATTAAATCAAAACAATTGATCAGATAATTTAAAAAGGTATATTTTTTTTCAAAGAACATTTTTAAAAGTATAGCCGCCTAATGGCTAATAATAATCCTTGATTTTATTTAATTATTATGTTTTACGAATAATATTAAATAGTTAATCAAACTTAAGTTTAAATTATAAATCGTAAGCAATACAGTAATATCATTCCAGTCTGGGTTCTATTTTAGTTACAGACAAAATAGTATTAATTTGTGGATAAATATATTTTTAATATGTTTTAGTTGGGGAGGATGCGTCGTGGCTATGGTGCCGTCAGATGGCACCGACAGATTTGTGAGATCCGTTAGAGATCAATATTATGCAAATAGAGAGACTTGTGGTAAACATATCGATCAACTTGTGTTGCAACAGTCCTTCTGAAGGGGCTTGCTGCATTCACGTCAATACCACTTCTACCAGTAACGAAATTTCCGACCACCTTCCGTCTCTTGTGCACTTATAAATCAAATGCAAATTATTCTGCATAGTATATTTGATCAATAATTCAATCGTATATTTTCCCAATAAAATAGTATATTTTTTTGTGATAAAAATTATAGACAGTTTATCAAATATTGTTTTAATATTATTATATGTATTGTACCTATAAGTTTATGAATATTGTTACAACTGTTGTATTTATTATGTATTATTGCTTTGGTCAATCAATGTTTAAAATATAAGTCGTTTATTTAAAATTAATTAAAATAAAAAAAATAAATTATTTACCTACACTGAGCTCTTATGTTCTTGATTGTGATGCTAGTATATTTAAAACTTTTCTTCAGAAGCAAATAATACGATATGAACGTTAACATTAACCTGTTAGTACATTATGGACATATTATACTCATAGTTTATAGTGTTTACTACTTGATATATTAAAATATGAAACATGATACAGATAATTTTTAAAAAACAATTTTGTGTAGTACTTAATTGATTTAAAATTTTAACTGTGTTTAAACAATTATCCTAACTGTAGAGACTAACTGGAAGGTTAGTAGCTGTAGATTTTTCAATATTGTACATTAGTAATGATAAGTTAAGTTTTAAAACCTATTCTAGACCAATCTTATTATCTATACATACTAATTTTACAAAGATAATTTCTTTAATACACCATTGATCTTATAATTTTGTATTCGATTTTTATATTAGACTAATTACTTTATTGTGATTTTAGTAATTATTAATCTATATCCCTAAAATTAAATAACATTGAATCGAATTTATTAGTATACTGAATCGACCTAGTGTGCCACAACTACATTAACACGGTTAGTTTTCTATTTCCCTATTATTGTATTTATTTTTTTAAAGTTAATTCTTTTGAACATTGAATATTTAAGGTACCTACTAATTTAACTTGTGCAATTAATCATCGAACATCATTCAACTGAACCTAAAAATATCACAACGTGATGTATAGGTATATAATTCTAATTTTATTTTATTTTTTGAATTCATAAAATTAACAGTAAATGTTATTTTCAGTGAGCCATGTTTAAACATAAACACTAATTATGTATAGTTTAATAAATGTGATGATTTATCGTTAATTTTTTTTTTGCTATTAAAAAATTACTTTAACGACACTACACTTAATTAAACAACCTCGTATAATATTAATATATTCAGTTACTATAAGCACTAAGCAGCTCGGCATTTATGTAAATTACCTTTTGGTAGTGCGAGGAATGACAAATACTGGCCTTATAACGTTTTATTTTTATTTTATTATGATTTACAAAGAAATTTAAAATTTGATTTCCCGGAAAAATATTTTTAATAGAATCTTTATCAAACCGATATAATGTAATTGAATTATAAATTAAAACCTTAAACTATTCAGGAATAATATAATGAACGATACTACTTAATTATTTCCACAGTTATAAATACTTAAATTAAATTCTTTTAAAACCACCGATCAGCGAAGAAATTCATAAAGTACTTTTTAGTTTACGTGTTCCAAGCACATCTGACGACATAGAGTATGATACTTTAATGAAAAGTTTGAACAAATATTTTAAACCTGTTACTAATACTTCGCGGCTAGATACACATTTTATCAAACAAAAAAAAAGACAGAATGAAACTGTGTGTCAATTGGGTACACGTGTCAAGAATCTTACATTAATATGTGGATTTTCATTGGAACTAACAACCGTAATTCGAGACATATTCGTTGTCGGTATGGGTTCGGATCCGATCCAATATCGTTTCTTAGGAGAAGACGCGTTAAAAGTTGGAATAACATTTTCAAGCTTAATGGAAATTGCAACAACTAAAGAAGAACCAATAAATGACAAAAGTAGTTGAACAAAGATAAAAAGTATCAAAAATATACAAGGGTGGTCAAACTAAACGAAAATTCTACGCTTCCAAGGAATCAAAAGAGAAATTCGAAACTTGTGGCCATTTAAATCACGCTCAAAAAGATTGCAGATACAAGGACTATGTATGAAACAATTGCAGCGAGAAAGATCATTTATCCAATATCTGTAAAAAGGGTAAGAAAGAAAAGAAAAATACTAAAACACTAAATAAACTATTGTCTAATAACTATGTCGATGATGAAAAAATTACCTAATACTTTTTTTCTGCAGTTAATCAACATTTTTAAAATAGAGCTGTTAAACCGTTTACAGTAGATTTAATTATAGAAAACAATAGTATACATTTTTGAAACAATTATAAAGTCAACTGTTCACTCATATAAAATTACAAAAAACATGATATTTCTCTTTCTGATTACATCGGAGGGGATTAAACCGATAGGGAAAATATTTGTCAATTCAGAGTATCTGAACAAAAACGGTGGTTATTGTTTAATGTGTGAATACGGGGTCGATAATATTATATAAGTAAACATGACAATGTTTTCAAAGATGAAATAGACACTTTTAATAAATATGAAATTTCATTAAAATATATCAAAGTTGTTGTGGTACCTAATTTCTATAAATCTAGTTTAATTCTTTTAGCATTAAAAAGTAAAGTTGAAAATGAAATAGAGCGTTAAGAACAATATATTGGTTCCCGTCAATCATAGCGAGTAGGCAACTCCAATCGCACTTATATTAAAACTAGATAGTATGGTTGAATTTGTAATGATTTTAAGATAACAATATTTAATTTGATATTTAAAAAAATCAAGATAGTCATTTTATGAATTCTATTTTTAGAAACATTTTGGTATCCAAAAACTTTTACTAAGGTTGAGTCAATAATTTTTAAACAATTTTTAAAGTTTGTTTAAATTCAAATTTATTTCTCGTTTATCAGTGTTACAGCGATTATCGATTATTCAGAAAATCTATTTGAAATAATATAAAATTGTACAAAATTCAAAAAATCGTAGAAAATAAATGGCTAAACATTTTTCATTTTTTTTTTTTTTTTTTGCAAACATGTTTTAACAATCATATCAACAAAATGGCTATTTTAACTTTTTTTTAAATATTAAAAATTTCCTAATTTTTCATACAAAATTTGAAAAATTAATTTAAATAGAGCACAGATGAATATTGATAATTTTTTTTAAAAAAAGTCGAAATGTTTAATAAAACAAAAATTATTGTAATTGTCAGTTTACCGTGAAACGCTCTATATATATGGAGAATAGTTGTATTAATAAATATTGTCTGGACATATTTCAGTGGCAGTCTAATACTGATATAAAAATAAAATAAATTCGTGGTCATCAAAACTTTAGCCAGATTAATGCTTATTTTCAGAAGTATGAAAACCAATCTAAGTTCAATCTATGGAAAAATACATCTATATAGAAACAAAATTATTTACACGGCAATAATAGTAAACTTTTTCCGATAAGCTATAAAATCCGATTTTAAGAAATTGCCCACGGTTACCAGATAGAAGTATAATTTTGTTACACTCTCAATTACTTACATATATTTACTATTATAATAAAACCATACTATTTAGGCCCCTTGCCCCCTTTAATTCTACCACTGGTTAGTTTTTAATAGAAGAATAAAATTTGTCTTGTAATATTATTGGGCAACAGTAATTTATTTAAAGCACGTATTTATATAATGTAGAAGGTAATTACGAAATATATGATGTAAATTACCTAACTCATAACTATTTTCTATTAATATCTGTTTATATTTTATAGTATAATACAATTTTGTTAACAGTTTATTTCGTTGTCATTAGTTACATCTTACATATATATATATATATATATAATATTACTTCAGTATATACACTGCTCATAATTAGGAAATTAGACACATATGAAACTTAATGATTGGTATTTTTTAGATTTAGCCAAGTTTTTTAGTAAAATTGCCAAACCTACATACAAAAGTAAGAAAAAAAAAAACAAAGAATTGCTATTAATAAACATTCACAAATTATAAATTTAAAATTTTTAAATTTATCAAAAAAAATTGTGATGGATTTAAGGTGGACAAATGTTTTCCATCATAAGTTTACCTGAAAATTTTTTCATAACGCTCAATAAAAATAAAAAGTCTTACAATGCGTATACATGGTGTATTAGTTTAACGCCAAATTTAAATCCAAGATTACGTTAAACATACAAAAAAATAAATCATGGAATGGGTATGAGTGATATGACAGCAGCAACGAATATAAAGTTCAATTCTTTAGTCAAATTAGTATTTTTATACCAATAGATATTCAGTAAAAATAATTGTAGGTTTGTGAATACTATTTTGTCTTTAAAACAGATACACTTTAAGTTTTACTCATTATAATATGAAAAGTGTTAATTTAATAAATTATTACCAATTTTACAATTCCACAAAGCTTCAAATACTTTTTATGTAATGTATAGATGAATAAAAGTTAATTGTGACTAACGAAAATATAAAATTGTAACTTGCTTCAGCACATTTTGAGGTATCCATTTCCGTGTAGTAAATTACATCCAAATATTTTTAAGTAATATTATTTATTTGTTTGTAAATTATTTATTATTATTCATTATCAGAGGTCAAGGAGATACTATGAGAAGATCAAAATAGGTATTTTACCTTTACATCAATTAATGTATAAAAGTAACTTAAATAGACATCGATGAATTCAAAAGGTTTATAAGTATTAAGTACTATAAATGCAAATTACTATACCCATTTTAAAAATTGAAAATTTACAAGTACAATTATTAACTATAACTAGGCTTTGTAATTGCCTACATTTTAACTTTAGGCGCAATTTATGAACATGTACCTAACTGTATAATGTATAGCCGTATAGGTTTATTATTGATAAATAATTTGAAGGAAGAACCTTATTGTAATTTTCCACTGCACTAAAATTTTAGATATGATAAATGAAAAAAATTTTTGTCTACCCCTCAGAAAAAAATACTCCTTATTTTGTCATCACTTTGGAATTATTTCAGAGTCAATACATATTATGAACATATATGCAAAACAAATGCGTGAGAAGAAATATAAACGAGAATATGTAATAGGTATATAGAAATTTGTCCTTTACAGCACTTTAATGTTTTAAATATAAGCACTCCAATATGGTGATATTCTATCAACAACCTATCTATGGTATAAACCTGCGATTGGAAATACGTAAGGAAACAAAAACATAATTATATACTTTATGAACAGTACATTATTTTTAACATTAATTATTTTTCTACGAAAATAACAGTAGATAAAAAATTGTCTTTCATATGTCAATGCTATGATATACTGTCCACAGATAGAGAATTTCTACAATAATATTTTTAACAAATTTTGCGCATTATTTTCATATCACATTCAATATCAAAACGTCATCGTTCGTGGTATCCAAATGATACGATCATTATTGCGAGTTATTTAAATTGTATATACTATTATATACTTTACATCATAGCATGTCGGATTATTTACCTGGTGAGATGTAGGTAATATAAACAAGATAATAATTCCCCCATCAAATAACGTACGTGCTGTATATATTCATATTAATATATATTATATACCGTATAGGTAATATTAATAAAAAACAAGCATACACATTTTGTTTATCAAGTTGCTACTGCTGCGCAGAAATATAATATATACAAGTACGTAAAAGTTTCGAGATTTTCATCGGCTACGACGGATGCTGACGGACTAAAGGTTCTTTGACCTGACGAAATGATAAATATAAATAGTGTTTCATACATATATAATATATACAAGCGTTGAAATATAAGTAGGTATTTCAATGCCGTTATACAATATAATATGTATTCGTATCGTATAAGAACTAATGCAACCGTGTGCGTTGACATATCAAAATTGGAATTGCAGGATCGACGACGTAGTTTCGAGAAAAACGTATCAATGTAATATATAATATTATATTTGGTCGGTAGTGGCAACGGTGGCTGATGAAAAGGTCACGTGTTGTTTCCGTTTTACTTAAGTGCAACGCAGAAAATTTGAGTTCAGTAAACTCAATTTTGTGTAATTAACATTAATAAAAGTTAATTGAACTATTATAAAACTTAGAAATGAGAACAGCATTTATATTAATTTATCTGTTGTTTACGAAATTTAAATTTGTTATAAAATGTGAATACTGCAATTTTATAAAAATCATAACTCTTTTTAAAAATTATGATATCATAAAACTCTATGTACAATTACAGATAATATTCTTACCTTTAAGTTTTATAGTAAATCAATTCACCTTAATAAGAACACGAAAGTGATTCTGCATTTCTGCAGAAAACAAATTTGCCATGTTAACATTTGCAGTCATTATTTCTGGTTGAAAGAAATCAGGAACTCAGATTATATAATATTTTAATAAGGTTAAATATTTATGTACATCATATTGTTTGATTTTTCACCTCATCAAACAATAAAGCGATGGATATATTTTGTTCCATTATCATGCCATGAATAGTAAGTACCTTTATAATTGATTAAATATTTTTGGAGCAATTTTGAAGGTTCAGTAAAATATTAATGCGCATAGGATTATCATATATTAATAACACTTAAGTATTCAAAATCCAAAGTATATAATAAATATGATATTATAAACTAGCATTTTATTGTACGTCACGAGTCATTAATTTAGAATGAAAATAAAAAAATTCAGTTTAAAAACTGTAAACCATTAAATATTGATAATTTAAAAATATACATTATATGTAAACTTGCAGTATCATATACAAAGACAATAATAAAATTATGAAGTAGGCCATTTTTAATTGACTACTTAGCTGTAAGCCACGTGAAAAACATTTTTTCGTATTTTAATCGAATAATTCTCTTAATAATAAAATTAATCAATTTAATAAATAATTTAAGTATTACATTATGTGGTGTTGTGCAATACGGGCAGCACATGTGACAATAAAATGTATACTATACCTTTCGTACTATACTTACTCGTATGTATTATCAATTAATAGTGGCGGACTGGACGACCGGGATACCGGGAAATTTCCCGGTGGGCCGCTGCTCGTATAAAATATAAATTTATTAATATTATTATTGTGAAATTATAAATTAAAATATTATCTAATAAGTATGTTATATTATTAAACTTAAAAACCCAGATTTCTGATTATTGCGGGACTGGCTCGTGTTCGGCCGGTCCGGGCTTGTTGACAACTTATTGTTACAAGTTTAAAAATAGAATCGAAAATAGTTATTACATGGGCCGTTATAGGCGAATAGGCGATGGATAGGCGATAACAAATAAAATAATAATTGTTATTATCGCGCTGTCGCAACTCGCAATAACATCACATTACACATTTTATATTATATTTTATTTTCGTTTTTCACTGTTTAGTGTTTTAAGTGTTAATAGTGTGAATACTGATGAGGTTTTATTCATTGTTTTAAATATTATTTATTAACGTTTTAATTGTTTACTATTCAGTATTCATATTTTATATTTTACGATTTTCAATAATGAGTGAAGAACAAAAAGCAATAGTTAACAAAAGGAAAGGTGGTGCAGAAAAAGCAAGAGATAAAAACAAAAAGCTGTTGTTGGCCTCAGCAAAACAGTGTCTGACACTAGATGAACTATTTAAACCACAAAAACAATCTCTAAATAAAAAGGTAGGTAAAATAAAATGTATTTATTATGCTGTTTAGACATTTAGTTAATAAGCAATAACTAATGTTATAATTTTAGATTCTGAACGAAGTGATGAATGTATTGATTTTACTATGATGTGTGTTTTTTTTTTTTTGCGTCTAACGACAACATTTGGAGCAGTAATAATGCTCCGATTTTTGACTTCAGCCCCTCTTTGAATAGGAAAATTCATCTAGTTGGTACTTTGGGGGGGTCAAAAGTAAAATTTTCAAATAGTTTTTAAAAAAATCGAGAAAAACAAAAAAAAAAAGTGACAGAAAAACGACAATTTTACGAAAAACCATTTTTCGATAAAATCGATTTTTTGATTTTGCTGTAACTCAAAAACGAATCATTGTAAATACTTGAAATTTTCACCAAATGTTTATATTATGGTTATCTCTTTACAGTTAAATTTTCAAAATATTTTGACTATTTTTAAGCTACTTATAGACAATTGAAATTTTCGACTTTTCTAAGTTTTTTTTTCTTCAAATGCCGATAAAAATTTTTTGGGTGGCCAGAAAATCTTAAAAATTTAATACAAGGTTTCTTATAAGTTTTTCTTAAAGTGATAAATAGAAATCCGAAATCGTTATTCACAATTTTTTTTTTATAAGTGCTTAAAGTTCGAATTTATACGAAATATGTCAAAATTTAAATTAAATTTCATACGCTCATAATGCGTATGTTGGCCAAATACTTTTTTT